GAATACATACTGTGAAGAACCCAGAGAGGGTTATTTGATTGTGCTTTCTGGGAAACAATAAATTTTAAAAATTTTAGGCACTCCTGCAATAGTCACACTTTTTCTGTTACAAACTGACTCCAGCCCCCCACCAGAGAAGGGAAAAGTTATGTGGCCCTTAAAGGAAAAAGTTTGGGGACCCCTGATCTTCAGGATGAATAAGGAGCAGCATCAAACTGAGGACTTTGTATTGACTTCCGTTCAATTTTGTAACTCTATTTATGCCTAACCCAGACATTTTTCCCTGAAACTAACCGTACTAGTCTATTCATAACCCTAACCTGAACCAAAACTTAATTCGCACCATAGCCTTCCTCTAAACCTAACTAGTAAAGCACACTAAAGCACTGAAAAGAAAAGTGAGGACCAGGACAAGATCCTCACTTTTCAAAAAGAACCTCTTAGTTAGTCTTGCCACTTGTAAAAAGATCTGGGCCATGTCTAGGTTTAGGAATAAATCATCAAAGATGGCTAACATAGGCTGCTGATCATCTCCAAGTCACAAACRCTACTGCATTGACCCAATTTCTATTACTTTTAACTCTTTGCACTGTTTTTTAAAGTCTCTGTTAATGCAATATAAAACATGGCCAAACGTGCTTTGAAACAGAGAGTCCACATGCTGTGGATGATGGTTGCCCTTACCACGTGGTTCACACAACAGCTGCAGGAAGTAAAGATGCTCATATCAAAACTGTCAACAAATTTCCCGAGACCTTCAAAAATACATTTGGTACACTGAGAGAATTCAAACACGGKTGTTGGAAGTCAAACACACGCGCACTACAATAAAATGTCACATTTTGATTTATTCAAGAACATGCTAAAAAGAAATAATCTGTGGAATTTCCATGCTGTAGACGAGGCGCGTGCACGARGCAAAAGGCGGAAAAAGGGAGCTTCTGATTGGGTCACGCCGTCATGTAGGCGGGGCTGCGTCAGAGCGCGGAGCCGGAGAGCAACTGCTTCTGCTACCCATCCGTCTTTCTGGTCCAATGTTCCACTGAGCAGTCAGATCCACGTGCACGCAGTGGCAGCTTTGTGTGACTTGTCTCCGAATATTTAGACAATTGTGTTTCATTGAAACACACAACAGAAACAACCATGGTGAAGTTAGCAAAGGTAAGGCGAATATTTGTGTGTTTTACGCTTAATCGTCGAGCGGCCATTGACTTGTGGAGATTAAGCTGTTTATGCACGAGGCCTGGCTTTGCGTAGAAGTCGCTGCGCTCGTAAGCAATAGAAACCGTCCGAAGTTAGAAGTCTGTGCTGGAATTTCGCAGTAAATTCTCTCGTTTCATAAATTTAAGAGTCTTGTCTTTCGACGACACGGCTTAGTTTTTCTGTAAAACACGTTTTTGAATCGTGYTTTTCGTTTGTGTCAGATCGCTCGTAGTTCCAAGGCCTACGTCGGCCTTCTAGGATTAGCATTAGCACGCCGCTCGTTTATGGTGCACGATTTTCGTTGTTAGGCCAGAGCTAGTGATCTTTTTTTTAATAGTCTACAGTAAAACTTTGTTTTACGTTGTAATGCATTGGATAATTGAAGGAACTTTTAAGATTTATTTTTAATGTGTTAGCCCCTTGTGCTAGCTTGCTTAGCCTCATGAGCTCCACGTGGGTGGGCGCATGCTCTTGAGTGACACACGCGGTGAACAACCAGAACGAGGGTAGTGATGACGTTACAATCTTTAATCATTACACTTAAAAAGATTAATACACCTAGCTCATACCTGGAGCGCAACATCTTATACCAAAATTAATTACTTTGACAAATGTATGTGGTGTTAGTTTTTCTCCTAAACCCTAAAGTATTCTAATAATAATAATAATAATAATTTGTAACCTTTTTCCAGGCAGCGACTCCGCAAACACAGAAGAAGAAAGCTGCTCCACCTCCCAAAAAAGTAGAAGAGGAATCAAGTGAAGAGGAGAGTAGTGATGAAGAGGAGGAGGTACAATACTGGTGACACTTTTGAACTGTGTAAATTTTTAAAATTTGTAGTTACATAAAAACACATGTTTTTACCTGTAATTGCAGGCACCTCCACCAAAATCTGCGAAGAAAGCAACTCCAGCTGTAAAAAATGGCACCGTAACTAAGAAGGCCGAAAGTGATGATGAGGAAGATGATGACTCTGGTAAGCTGCAAAGTTTTGACTTTCACGAGAAACTCACTACACAGTCATGTGACAACATTGGATTTTTCCTCCGAATTTAGGATGCTTGGGTTATATTCTTGCATGAGGATAAGTGTTTTGATTTTTGGGCTGGCAAAATGCCGTGCACTTATAAGTGTTTTTCAGTTGAACAAGCAGATTTTTCTGCTATTTTTAAACCGAATGTAATGTCTAATCTCATGATTTGACAATCCCTGCAGAAGAGTCGTCCGAAGAAGAGGCACCACCACCACCAAAAAAGARGCCTGCTAAAGCCACACCTGCAAAAGCACAGGCCAAAAAAGCCACAAAAGCTAAGGCAGCCCCTGCCAAGGCAGAGGAGTCTGATGATGAAGATGATGGTATGTGGTGGTAGAGTAAAAAAAACAAACCTTTGTTTTAGAAACGCAGTTTTGGTTTTTTGTGCTAGCTTAATGTTTTAGGAATTTCTTAGTGTCAAAACAATTTCTATATTTTAATTTGACATTATACCCTCCTTTTCTTGGCATACATGTAGTTGATTAGTACTCATGTGTGTAATGTACGGAGGAAAAGTAAATGCAGCGCTATGTCTTCGGTGCCGGTGTGTATTTTATTGTCTGCCGGTTCTATCCTCAAACGCTGTTACATATTTTTTTTCTTTAAATCTATTTGTGTGCACTATAAAGTTCATTTTGACTTATAGATCTATGAAATACTTTCTATGTATCTTGTATAGATGAGTCCGAAGAGGAGGCCCCTCCCCCCAAGAAAGCAGTGAAGGCAGCTGCGAAGGCACCTGCCAAGCCTCCAGTAAAGGCTCAGCCTGCAAAGGAGTCCTCTGATGATGAAGACGACGACGATGATTCAGAAGAGGAGGCTCCTCCTCCTAAGAAGGTTGCTCCTAGTAAACCAGCTGCCAAAGCATCAGCAAAACCAGCTGCCAAGGTAGCAACTAAAGCACAAAAAGCTGAGGAGTCTGATGATGACGACGACGARGAWGAWGAAGAAGAAGACGGTAAGACTTGAGTTTTTATTTGGCAGCACAAAGCCYTTGTTCATCTTTGAACTTATGATGATATAAAGGGACTTAATACTGATCATGTGTGATGTCACCTTTCATAAATCTGACCCAGTTTACCTGAATGTGGTCATATTGTCGGAAATTGGTTACGAAAAGACATTTATTTCTTGACATTTCTGCTGTACAGACTCTGAAGAGGAAATGGATACCACTCCAGCTCCAGCAGCTAAGGCAAAGAAAGCAGGCATGGTCAAAGCTAAAGAAGAGTCAGAGGAGGAGGAGGAGGAAGATGATGACGACGAGGATGATGATGAGGAGGAGGAGGAAGAAGAGGGTGAGTTTTAAAGTAGATCTATTTTGTCTCATTGTTGATMTAATGGGATACTTGAAATTTATGTCGACAAACTCTTAATATCAATTATCTGAAAATGTTTAATTTGGATAAGTTCGCATTCTTCCAGTTATGTGATCAAGTTCAAACAAAATGTGCACATTTTATCTCWTCTGCAAACACTGAGCTGAGACTCTTTCCTTACCAGAACCTGCAGCAAAACCTGCAAAAAGGAAGGCAGAGAGCAAAAAGGGGACTCCCCCTGCCAAAAAAGCAAAGTCAGATGGTGAAGGTAAAGAGAAATTTACTGATGCATGATACATTTGTAACAGCTGAATTTATTTTGCTATAGAAGCGAACCAAGAAAATCCTATTAAAACATAGTGTTTCATATCCTAGGATTCACTCTGTATGTTGGAAACTTGAACAGCAACAAAGACTTTGATGACATCAAAGCTGCACTGGATAAATTCTTCACAAAAAACGACCTTGAGGTTGTTGAAGTTCGTCTTGGAGGATCAAGGTAAGTTAATTTTTAATATCTGTCGTGCTAAGTGACTGGAATTAATTGCCAACGAATTCATCAATGATGTTAACAACATTTGAGGAACCTCATTTTATTTTTGTGGGCCTGTTTTTKTTAGGAAATTTGGCTATGTGGAGTTTGCATCTGAGGAAGACCTAAATAAAGCCCTGGAGCTCAATGGAAAGAAAGTCTTGGGTCAAGAGATCAAGCTGGARAGGGCCCACAGCAAAGAGAACGCACAAGAGAGCAGAAAAGGTAATTTATATGCATGTGCCAAGTTACTGATTTGATTAGATACTGTTTTCATTAATGGCACTGGGTGGGTACACGAAGTAGGATAGATGTGTGTACAGTGCTTCACACTGGAAAAAATAAATGACAGTTGTGAGGTTTCTCATAAGATGCTGACCTTGTTTTACCACAGAGAGGGATACCCGGACGCTGTTTGTGAAAAATCTTTCTTTCTCTGCAACMGCTGATGACCTGAAGGAGGTGTTTGAAAATGCAGTTGATATCAGGTTACCTCCAGGACAAAATGGTTCAAACAGAGGGTAAGTTATGTTAATGCTGAAACWCTTGAAGGATTCTGGAGACAGTTCTTTGTAGATTTTTTGTTTTAAATCATTAGAAGTAACCTTTGCCCCCTTTTTTCCCCCAGCATTGCCTACATTGAGTTCAAAACTGAGGCAGATGCAGAGAAGATGTTTGAGGAAGCCCAGGGTGCTACCGTGCAGGGGAGGTCAATTATTGTTGACTATGTTGGAGATAAAAGTCAAAAAGGAGCCCGAATAAGTGCTGGTAAGCTTTTATTTGCCAAACTATATCTGAAGTAAAGTCATTTATAATAAAGATTATATATTTCACCAGTCTTTGAGTACATTAAAAAAGAGGTTAACTAGGTTCTCCTGTCCAGAGGACCTACTTAAATTTTTTTTTCCAACCAGTGTTACTAGATGCATCCGGTCATTGAGTAGTTACCTGGGTCTCCCAGATGTTTTGCTCAGTCTTGTCTGACCACTTTCTACTTTTTCTGTCATAGCCGGAGGAGCCGCCAGCAAGACATTGGTAGTAAATAATCTCTCCTTCAGTGCCACGGAAGAAGTTCTGCAATCCACCTTCGAAAAGGCTGTCTCCATAAGGATTCCACAGAGGGACGGCAGACCAAAGGGGTAAATTTACTTCATTGTTTGTGGCTGTCATAAGATCCTCTTTATCGCCTCCTGTGATCTGCATTGATTCATAAAAGTGCACAGTTGGAACACAAATGGTTTGTGTTTAAAAAAAAAAAAAACTTTGCTGTTTCTGTTCCCAGCTTTGCCTTTGTGGAGTTCGAGAGCACTGATGATGCCAAGGATGCTCTAGAAAACCTGAACAACACAGAAATTGAAGGACGTACAATTCGGCTAGAGTTCAGCCAGGGTGGCGGTGGAAGAGATGGTGGCAGAGGAAGCTCAGGTACATGTTGTAAAMTGATTCTGTTTTTAAAGAAGGGTATGTTCCAGATTTCAGTGCAGCAAGTGAAGACCAGGTGTGATGAAAAGTTGATCATCTGGAAACACATGAAGAATCAAATGATAGTCAAGTCCTGATCTGGTCTTTTAACAGGCTCTTTTAATCTGAAATCTGTTAAAATAATTTATTCTGCTGTTTTTGTCTCTTCTCTACCAGGTCCAACAAAGACTCTCTTCGTTAAGGGTCTTTCTGAGGACACAACAGATCAAACCCTTAGAGATTCGTTTGACGGTGCTGTAGGAGCCAGGATAGTTACAGACAGAGACACAGGCTCATCAAAAGGGTACGTTTTAAAGCTGAATATCTGTGTCAGGTTGTTAATGCTTCTCTTGAGCACCGCTCTGTCTCTACTGTGYCATAGTATGGATTCGCATGAGAAGTAGAGTAAGCTCACAGTTAAACCGACAGCTTCCTGAGTGGAAGGTGTCCATGTCTGATGTGAGACAGCCTGACCAGGTGGATTGTGTTCCATCTTCTTGTCAGTCTTCGGCGGCGGTCTTTTGTTTTAAATTTTAGCATGAGRGAATTCTAACAAAAGCACTCTCAACAGCTTTGGCTTTGTGGACTTCGACAACGAGGACGACTGCAAGGCAGCTAAGGAGGCAATGGAGGACGGTGAAATTGACGGCAGCAAAGTAACCCTGGACTACGCCAAGCCCAAGGGCGAAGGTGGCTTCCGTGGAGGCAGAGGAGGCTCTTTTGGTGGTGGAGGCCGRGGCGGTTTCAGAGGAGGCCGTGGAGGCTTTGGTGGTCGAGGTGGAGGTAGAGGTGGTGGAAGGGGTGGACGAGGAGGAGGAAGAGGTGGTTTTGGAGGTGAGATTATATTCTGGACAAGAATTTTATCTGCCAGTTTTAKATTTTATAATGCTGTGCATTAAACGTTTTCTTTTTATTTATTTTTTTCTTCTTAGGTGGACGAGGTGGTGGAGGATTTGGAGCAAAGCCCCAGGGAAAGAAAATCAAATTTGATGACTAAATCCTTGGTGTTATTTTTTTATGTTATCAGTGGACTCTGGTTTCATCTTTTTCAGAGCTTTTGGACATTCCAGAAAGCCTCATTGGTATATTTATCTGTAAAAGGGCATTTTTAAGCCCTCTAGTTAGACCCTTCATACCACRTTTACCTTCGTGTGCCAGAATGGTACTTCTGACATTTTCAACTTTTAATGCTACATGTGAAAACTGAATGTCCCAAATGCAAACCTGCACCTCGTGGCCCCCCATGGGGTCTTCTGTTTTTCACAAGGAGTAAAATGGAATGGGTCTGGTGAGCAAGTTTGCTGTGATAAGAGAGTTTTGTCAGACACGTTATGTAAATTTGAACTGTATGATTTCATTTTACCTTTTGTAAAAAAAAAAAAACAATTACAARCTGTATCCATCTGTTTTTATTTTGTCATTTAGTTCTCTTTAAATGTTTAGTTTTACTGTGCAAAATCATTTCGATAGTCATCCTTTAAAACCTGTGTTGGTTGTTTGTCACGGTTTGATGGGAAAACCTCTTAACATAAAATGTTTGGAGTGTATTGACTAATTTTTTTTCTCAATATTTTCAAGATGAAATAAACCTCATAAGGGGTCATTTTTAATTTGGACGAATACATTTTATTTTTTTTTTCTCAATGATCTGAATGATCAAGTTACTTCTAAATGAGTAATGTTAAGTTTGGTTTTGAGGAGCTTTTTTGTGTGTGATATTATGTTTGGTTAAGTATAAACAAACAAAGTTAAGTTGAATTGGCAGAAGATRAACAGCATTGAGGAATCCCCGGAGATAAAATTACTCAAATGTGAGTTGTGCTGACATTTTGAGGATGTTAAAAAAAAAAACTTGGCCACAAGATGGGGCTTGATTCAAACGTGGCGAATTTGCCAAACAAAATGGTTSTTTGAGGTTATGGTTTTTGAAATGTAAGGTGATTGCTTGGAACATTTTATCATTCAGAGTTGGAAAAAAACTTTTTCTAAGATTATATTTTCAGGCTTCTTGGATTGTACAGTTTAGAAGAAAATCTTACATTTTTCTACATTTGGCTGCACTTAAGCGGGTAAAACCTAGCAGTGGTGAGTTTTAAGTTATCTCTGGTTTAATCATGTGACTAGTTAATGGTTCAATTCTCAGTGCCAACCAGCTGTATCAAACTGACTAGATTTGATCTACCCAAGTTTGACTCAACCACTGATTTATTTAAATATTAACATATAAAACTTATTAGGAGAGTAAAAACTTTTAGGTACCTGCATACAAAAGGGAGAGCTGTTTGCACAATGCAAGACAATACCCTAAACAGAAGATAAAACAAGCATTTCAGAGAGAAACAGGCCAGTGATACTAAAATAAAACATGATTGGGCAGGAGGACAATGAGTCCAACAGTCAGTGTTTAAAATGATTCACAAATTAATATGTAGCGATCCAGGCAAGATCAGCTTACCTGGATTAGTAGTCAGATTTCAGAAAAGAGCAAAATAAGGAGATGTTGTGCTTCAGTTACCTTCATTTCCTGGGAACCTTCACTGCTGGTGGTATAGGCAAAGGTGGAGGCCTTACAGTTGGATTYGTATTAAAGCATAGGCCTCCGAGGAAGAAAGTAATTAAAAACAAGTTTTTTCAAACTCAAATTGCTTTTGTGGTAGACTTTAGACAAATCAGACAAGTTTTAAGAAATATCCAGCTGATTTGAAGTCAGCACCAAATTAATTCAAGAGGGCAGTGGCGGTGCTAGGGGGGCACTAGGGGGCGCTATAGCTCCCCCTGGAAAAAGTCAGAATCCCCAGGAAATATTTATTTTTTTAATCCAATTCTTTAAATATTTAGTTGTTATGGTATTCACCTCTGTCAGTGTGCCCCAGGGCAGTTGTGGCTACAGTGTAGTTTGCCATCATCAGTGTGTGTGAATGTGAGTGTAAAGCGCTTTGAGTGTCCTGGATGGATCGAAAGGTTCTATATAAGTACAGTCCATTTACCATGTATTTTCCTCTAAAGACAAAAAGAAAAAAATAACCATTCTAATTTCAGTAAAAAATGAATTGCTTTAAATAAATTGCAGAATACCACATTCACTACTGTATTTGGGGCTGCTGATGTCAGATTTTTTAGTGCACTTGTGTGTGTGTGTGTGTGTGTATGTGTTGGGTGGGGGGGGGTCGTATTTGGTGACATTTGGGGGTAGTTTTAAGACAAAAATTCTACATTTGGGGACAATTGGTGCATCTGGGGACAAAAGTCGAGTCCCCATTTGGTTTAAATGCCTTTGGT